ATAACACACGGTCTATGATCAAAAGGAATTCCAAGAGATCTGCTCTAACAAAGTAAAGGTTTCCTGTCTTCCAGTCTACTTCTCTTTCACTATACCACTCTGCCACATGTGATATAAAAATGTATGCTCTGGAATAGAGACTGGGGAATATAGTTTCATATAGCAATATTTCTGTAATAGAACATAATACCAAAATTATTTTTACTGGAAAAAAACGATACATATCTATATAAGGTTTCTATTTGTACTTAGAAAAGTTAGTTAATTTCTGCCATACACATACAATATTGTAAGTTTATCAAAATAATGACTGATTTCAATTGTTTCTACCAAGTAATCTGAAGTCACATTTAGTTATGAGTTAAAATGGACATGATTCAATTATTTATACATCAAAACATGATTAGATTCTTTATTTTCTATCTATTCCTATCGTCAAATGAATACCAAACATCAGTACCAAAAACCAAACTGAAGTTAAGCCAGAGCCATCAAAATATAAGAACAGAAGAATAAAGGAAGAAAAGAAGAAAATAATCTGGGGGCACCAAAGACGACTCAAAGGAAAAATATGCTGCCTCGCTATGAAAGAAATTATGCTCTGCAGTAGCAAAAATAGGAGAAGTATACCAAAAGAATTTTTCCCATTAAAGAAGAGAAAATAAGGCAAACCTCTTCCCTTTGGACAAAACACATACTGCAAACAGCAGCTGATAATTTAATCATGTACTAAGTAATTACCTAAATCTCAAGTCTAGGAGGAGAAGAGGGTTAGTTTCAAATTAAACATCCCTCCTCCCAACTCTTCCTTATTCCTCATACTTCAACACTGTCCAACAATCCTGCCCTTGGTGAGAATCACTGCTATTGTGAGCCATTGTAAGAAGGAATATGTGCCAAATTCTTTAAGTGTGCAGCATCCCTTAAAAGATGCAAATCACTGACCTAGACCACCTAAAACCCCCTTTTGACTATAAAACTGTATTTTTCTTAACATGTAACTGTAGTTTCTAGCCACCCTTGCTTCACTGAAGTGGTATTCAAATCCCTTTTTTGCAAATATGTGATAACTAATGGTGATTATCAGTCTCAGAAAAGACATACAAACAAGTCTGCCATTTGAGATGAGTTGTTAATCTAGCAAAGTATTGGCTATTCAGAAATCTTTGAAGGCTGAGTTATCCTGGACAATTAAATATTCTAGATTGTTTATCTTATAAATTATTAATTTTTACTTTATAATTTTTGATAGGACTCTCTTTTGAAGTATGCCATTGTCTTTGCAAAAGAACAAGTGTTTTAAATTACAAAAGTAATATACAATCATTGAAAAGACATCAATTCCACCGGGTGTGGTGGCTCGCACCTCTAATCCTAAAACTTTACGAAGACAAGGCAGGTGTATCACTTGAGCTCAGGAATTCAAGACCATCTGAGCAAGGGTCTAAAAATATACAGGCATTGGGACACCTGTAGTCCCAGCTACTAGGGAGGCTGAGGCAAGAGGATCTCTTGAGCCCAAGAGTTTGAAGTTGCTGTGAGCTATGGTACCAAGGCACTTAACGTAGGGCCACAAAGTGAGGCTCTGTCTCAAAAGAAAAAGACAAGACGTTAATTCAAAAGTATAGGAAATAAAACATTCTTTCCTTTTCATCTCCCTACTCCCATTCCACAGGGATAATTCACTGTGAAACAATTTAGGGTGTATCCTTCTAGACATCTTCAAAATACATACAAACTTTATACATAACTGTATACATAAACTCAAATAAACAATAAGACCTTACTGTACATTCAGGTTCTGAAATTTGATTTTTACACTGATAAGGTTTAAATATGCTAGTATACCTCATTCATATTTAAACTGTATATGCCATATATTTTTCAGCATTCTTTCACTAATAAGCACTTTTAGGCTACACTCCTTTTTTTCCTGCAATACACAATTTCGTGCATGTATCTTCTGCATACTTGTGTTTTTCTGCAGCAAAGTTTAGAAATTAAAATGCTTGATTCAAGGATGAACACCTTTTTTATTTTGAGTTACACTGTTAAATTCCTTGTCTTCTTTAAAATAATCTGCTGAACTCTTTTCTTTAGGACCAGGTTCATTCTTACCAATATTCTTTCTTTTTTTCTCTGCTCATGTAATGATCCCTTTGGGGCTACAGAAGTAGATGGTACTATTCACTTCTTGCTATGGTTCCCCACCAAAACTCATACTGAAATTTGATTCCTAATGTAGTAATACTGAGAAGTGAAGGCTAACTAATGGGAGGTGTTCCGATTATGAGAGCTCTGTTCTCGTGGAAGTAAGTGGTCACTTAGTTTTCAAGGGAATGTGATTAGTCCTCCATGTCATGATGCAACACAGAAGCCCTCTTTAGAAGCCAGGGCCATGCCCTTGAACTTCCCAACCAACAGAACTGTAAGTGAAATAAAACTCTTTCTTTAAAAATTACCCAATCTCAGGTATTCCTTTATATCAAAACAAAATGAAGTTAAGACACGCCTACATTACATTTCATGTGTGTTTGTAATTTCTTTTTTTTTGAAACAGAGTCTAAAGCTATTGCCCAGGGTCTCTACTGAGATCCTTTTGACTCAATTTTTCTATTTTTAATAGAAACAAGGTTTTGTTTTTGCTCAGGCTGGTCTTGAACTTGTGAGCTCAAGCAATCCACCCGCCTTGGGATTACTGATGTGAGCCACCATGCCCGGCCTGTTCGTGTAATTTTTTAATCTTTTCCTTTATTGTTTGTCACTTCAAACTGCCATCACTGTACTGCCTATAGAACTTCTTCTCTTCACTTTTATAGGAAAACTTGGAAACTAGAGAATTTAATATGCTAACATTGAGATGTTATAAACTAAGTAAAATTTTTAATTGTCCACACATGAGATTTGATAAATGCTATTTTAACCCCTGAGCGCCCTTTTCATGCTTCTAGATTCTACAGTAAGGTTCCCAGATCATAAGCGTTAGATTGGTGAAGATCATATTGAAAGCACCTTGTTGGAAAAAAAAAAAAGGCAAATGGATTTTCCAGTAAATATCATAACAGCACGTACGTCACTGTAAAATTATACATAATCTGTTCAGTATACTGGTCTATTCCATCCTTACACACAGTCTGTTGGTTCCATAGACTAGTATAGAGAACCCCTTCAGTAACTCCCCCTTTCATTCTGCAACTACTATCTTAAATTTATTTTGAGTAAGTATCCTTTCCCAGTCATTACCTAATGTGGAGCCAGTGATTCCACATTAGGTAATCTTACATCTTGTACATGGTTTGGAACTTCGCAGCCCCCACTGTCCCTCCTCTCACATATTGTTACAGGGCCCTGAGCAAGCACACCCTGCAGAAACAGAAAGATTTGAGTTGCAAAACCTTGAAAACTCCCAGTGTAGATGCAACACCTGCTTTTCTTAAAAGCCCTTTGTGCCCACTTACCCACTCCCTATAGGCTCTAATCTAGCAAACTTTGCTTCTGTAACTGCTTTGCTCTTAGAAACCCCTCCCCCTTGAAAGCACAAGTTTAAAACCCTGCTCCCCCACTTCTCTGGGCCCAGAGATTCTTTCTGGTATGAACCCACTCTCGGTGCCAGCTAACAAAGGACCCTAAAACTCAACTGGCCTCAGTGTGCTGGCATAATTCTCTGTAATTCCACTGGCATTTGGGTACAACACTATGAATCAATATTACCATCTCAGTGTATTGTCCAGGATAAGCATATAACATAGAACCTAACCGGAGCCAGTGTAACAAAAAGAGACCTTTGATAGGATTTCTCCCTTCTTCTCATCCCCTCTTCCCTTCTACTTTCTTCTCTTTCTGCCTCTTCCTTTCTCCTCCCTGAAAGGGACAATAGAGAAGACCATCTCTGTCCTTCCCCAGGATGCGGGGGTATAGAGCTATAGAATCTAGAGCTAAGGGAGTGGAGACCTGAGAATAAAAGGAAAACAAGGGTACAGAGCCAAGAAATGGGACCAGGAGATATCTGACCCCTGAATCAAAATATACCACAACTTTTTAGTCATTTGTGCTTGTTTTGACTAAATTTTTGTCACCTGCAATATAAAGAATCCTGAGCCCTAAAGCTAGAACCTTATACAGATCTTTAGTCTTTACACTTCAAGTACCATTTTTATTAAGTGCCCATAACACTACTTATCAAGTTGTGATCTAAGCAAAATCTAACATTAATTCCATTAAGGCTAAAATTTTTCCTTTAAAACTTTTGCCTTCTAACACATATTCTAAAAATATATCTGAATACTGACAGAAACTCAGCTCAGCACACACTCAATTTTCAAGGCTTACAAATTTTAAGAAAAGAGAAACTCTGAGGAAATGTTCAATATTGGGAAAGATTACCAAAGTAAAAAATTACAAAAATGGCTCAGTGCCTATAGCACAGTGCTTATAGCACCAGCCACATACACCAAGGCTGGTGGGTTCGAAACCGGCCCAGGCCAGCTAAACAATAACAACTGCAACAAAAAATAGCCGGGAGTTGTGGCAGGCACCTGTAGTCCCAGATACATGAGAGGCTGAGGCAAGAGAATCACTTAAGCCCAAGAGTTGGAGATTGCTCTGAGCTGTGACACCACAGCACTCTACCAAGGGCAACACAGTGAGACCCTGTCTCTAAAAAAAAGAAAAAAAAAGAAAGAAAGAATGAAAGTGTAAAACACAGAATAACCCCTAGGTATTTCTTTTTCCTGGCATTTTGCTCCCTGATTTAGGATTTTTAAGTATCTTTCTGGAATGAAAGCTACTCAAGATCTAGCTAGCCAATATTCCTTGTAGTATACTACATTTGAAAATGATTTAATTAAATCAATCATTAAAACAAACCAGTTACCTAATTCAGTCTAATTCTGATGAAAAACATACAACTGACCCTCTGGGATACATTTATCCAACATTCATTCATTCAACTATTTAAACATGGGATTTCATTTCCGAGAACTGAAAAAAATTTAACTTACCTCAATTGTTTCGCATAGTTCTGTTCAATTTCTATCCTCTCTTTAACAAATTTGGCATACCGTTCCAAGAAGTCAATTCCCCATTGTGTATGCTTGTCTAAGCTGTCGAACTGATCCTAGAAAAGGAAGATTAAAACATATTTTTAAAGTCTCAAATTTTATCCACAAATATTTTAATGAGCTTCTGATTTTTGTTCAGCGAAGTAAGGAGGTATAAAAGGAAAAACCTAGGCCAATCTGTTGATCCGCACTCACCTCACCCTAAGACCTAGAAATACATTTCTAAGAATAAATCACACTACTTTATGCCTAGATACCCCTTTGCAACAGCCTCCCTTCACCACCTTTTTCTAATCAACTCTTATTCCCTCCGTTGAGAGATCACCCGTTCCTAGCCACTAAACCACCAGGGATCCCCCTTTGAAATTCAGTTACACCTGAAAATTCAAATACACTTGAGTTCAAGTTATGGGACCTGTCATTAACCATATGTCTGACTACTGAGCAATTCATCAAGACTCTTCAAACCTTTTCCATCTTAAAATAGGAGTCCCAACACCCACCCCATAGGACTGTGGTGATATTACTTGAAATGTTCTTTAATGCAGTAAACATGACACTAACAATATAACATTATGGCTGGCCTACAAGATTCTATCAATCCTTAAAAACATCCCCTTCTACCTGCTACTAGAGAAACTATCATTTCCCCTCAAGAATTATCTGCAAATGGACTAGTAAATGGTGCTCTCTCCCACTTACATATCAAAAGTCTACAATACTAAAAAATATTCAAATATCATTCCTTTCTGTACTTCCAAGATATTTTTAATCACTGATGGTTTAATCATGTTTGTTATTTTCAAATGAATTCCCTTCCTTTGCCTTTATTCTCTTTCCCCACCTTAAATCATTTTAAAATTCTATTCCTAAGGCAAATTCTATCTAAACAGCACAGACAGAATTCATCAGGCCGTAGCTTGGTATTACTACTCTAATTCTATTCTTCTAAGCAACTTTCTGATTTGAATGCAGCAAGAAATGCACAAACTTAATCTGAACAGTATGTCCTATTATAAATTGAAATTCTTTTTTAAATTGAAAAACTCTTGATGAGAAAGAGTTCCAAAAAGAATACTCTGAAGCTGAAATAATATTCTTTCCTTTTCCCAACTGCTTCAAAGGTTTTTCTTCCCTAAATCATCTTCATCAAATATTACGTCTTTATCCTTTAGATAAAGTATCTGAATTTTTAAAATTACAAGCCCCATTAGTAAAAAATCCAAACAAATACCTCTACTATAAGTATATTTATTTATATATTAAATGACATTATACTATAAAATTGCACAGTTATGAAATTCAGAAAAATGGAAATTTAAAGCTATAAGAATGAAAGACACTTTATTTAATACAAAATTTTTTTATTAATGTAACAAAAGCCTTTGGGCCATGACTTTTAAAATACTATTACCAATACTTCTAGTGAGTACAATGAATCAATATGCTTCAGTATTTCTAAAATCCAGGCTTAACACTTAATGGCAAAATAATCTGAAGGTCCTGGTTCTGTTAACAGTTCTACACTCTTAACATCTAGCTTTTAGGGAAACAAAAGGCACATAATAAAGGTACAAAGATCTCAATGGAAAAAAAAAAATCCCTGTTGCCTATACATCAATTCATTTTCAACCCCGTCCACCAAGATGCAAAGATTTATGTAATAAATTTTGCAACAAATTTCCTTGATGTTAATTTGTTATTTTTACAAACTAATCAGAAAATATTGCACCTTTATATTTTTTAACAAATAAGTTCAAATCCCACTGAAACTGACAGTGATAGTTAATTTTATGTGTCATCTTGACTGAGCTACAGTGCCCAGATATTTACTTGACCAAATATTACTCTAGATGTTTCTGTGAAGGTGTTTATTTTTATTTATTTATTTATTTGGACACAGAGTCTCACTATGTCGCCCTCAGTAGAGTGCTGTGGTGTCACAGCCCACAGCAAACTCCTGGGCTTAAGCAATTCTCTTGCCTCAGCTTCCCAAGTAGCTGGGACTACAGGCACCCTCCACAACACCCAGCTATTTTTTTTTTTTTTTGTAGTTGTCATTGTTGTTTGGCAGCCCCCAGGCTGGATTTGGACCTGCCAGCTCTAGGGTCCGTGGCTGGCGCCCTAGCTGCTGAGCTACAGGCATGGAGCCTGTTTGTGGATCTGTTAATGTGATATATCATGTTTACTGATTTGCATGTGTTCAACCATCACTGCATGCCTGGGATGAATCCCCCTTGATCATGGTGAATCATCTTTTTAATATGTAATTGAATTTGGTTTGCTAGCATTTTGTTGAGAATTTTTGACAAGGTCTTTCTCTTTTGTCCTGGCTAGAGAGCAGTGGTATCATCATAGCTAACCTCAAACTCCTGGACTAATGTGATCCTCCCGAGTAGCTAAGACTACAGCCACACACCACCATAGCTGGCTTATTTTGCTTATTTTTTTTATGAGATAGGGGTCTGCACAGAAATCCTAAATAAGTTTGGAGAGATTCCATGTTGGTTAATATAGCCACAGACTGAAAGAGCGGAGCAACTCAACTCTACAGGGACAGGAGGTCCTGTGCTCTGGAACTCTGCAAACCTCACTCTACCCACTCTTCATCTGGCTATTTATCTGTATCCTTTATCATACCTTCTATAATTAACTAGTGAAGTAAATAATGTTTCCCTGAGTTCTATGAGGCATAACAGCAAATTATGGCACCTGAGAAGGAGGTCTTAGGAACCCCTGACTTGTAACCAAGCCAGTCAGAAGTACCAGAGGCCCAGGACTTGCGACTGATACCTGAACTGGAAACGGTCATCTGGGGTCTGCACCAACTCTAGCTAAATAGTGCTAAATAGTGACAGAACTAAAATAAATTTTAAGACACCTAGTTGGTATCTAGGGAGGTGGAGAATCTGTTGTTAACACATTTGAAGTCAGAACAGTCTTCCCTTTGAGCAAGGACACACCTAACTGTGTCTGCCATCACACGTTAGCGTTTTCTTCTTTCAGACTAAGAATTCCCTTTAGCATTTCTTTTAAGACAGTTCTGGTGGTGGTGAATTCTCTCAGGTTTTGTTTGTTTAGAAAAGATTATATTGCTGCTTAATATTCAATGGATAGTTCTGCTGTGTACAATATTCTGGGATGGCAGAGGTGTTTTCCTTTACCTTGAAAATGTCCTACCACTCCCTCCTGGCCTATATGGTTTTTTTTCCATTAAGAAGTCTGTTGCGGCTTGGTGCCGCTCAAGCAGCTAAGGCGCCAGCCATGTACACTTGAGCTGGCGGGTTC